AGAGGGGAGGGACCTTTAAAGTTATAAGTTTTAAAGGTAGTGTTTTTAAGTCCCCATCGACTCCATATAAATTTCTTCCCACTCAGGAATTGAAATCAGGTCTCAGGCATGGGATTGTGATGCATCTAACTGTCACACAATAGACAGTGGTGAGAGAACCTTGAAAATCCTTAAAACAAGCAGCTGGACCATTCAAACCAGGAAAATCCACACTGCAGTTCTCTATGAAACCTAGATTTTTTACTACAAGTCTTGTTATTTGTGTAATATATTGTTTATATTCTTTTTTGGGGGTGGGTGTTAGGAGAGAATTGATGAAAAAAGAAATAAGTGCAGCAATTTGGCAAAATCTGGTATTACTAATGAAAGTAAAGAAGAGCCATCTCAATTGAATTCAAAACACATAAAAAGGGCTGGAATCTGTCATATCTGCTTTCTGATCATTGTAACAAGTTGTGCCATCTTTTAAAAAAAAAGTTTACAATTGTGTCACAACGAGGTGGAATCAGGCACTAGTCAATTTTGGGGCATATGGAGTTGTTGGTATTATCATAAAGCGTGTTTATTTGTCTTTCTTTGGTTAAAATAATACCCATCTATCTTATATAGAAGTAGAGATATTTGTGATTGAAATAGGTAAGGTCGCCTGATTTCAGTGGTAAAATTAGCAAGAAAATGGCCGCCAAAGTTCGGTAACTTCAATAGCTTGAGAGTCCTTTAAAACTGATAACTTAAATATTTTGTGCTTTTAATCCACATTTTTCAGTCAAATTCGAACGGAAATGTTTTTTCAAGGGACATTAAAGGTGTTGAGACAAAAAACAAAAATTGAATAAAAATTGCAAAAATGCCTGTTTCTTCTATTTCATTACTTTAATGAGCGCCTGATTTCACCACAATGCCTCACAATAGATAGGAATTGGATTTATAAAGTAAAGTTGACACATATAAGATGTATTATACACATACACATGATACGCGAAAAAATCTCCCAAAAAACTAAGAGGTGTGGTCAACATTGGAGTATGGAGGAATATAAAAGATATGGCAATTTACAATGTGGCAGTATCTCACCACAGAAAAACAATTAAGGAGTAAAAGCAAGCTTTGCCTTACAGGATCATCAGCGCTTATTAAAATCCTGAAATAATAGCAGTATGTTCCTCTAACACACAGTTACCAAAGATAGTTTTCATGTTTCAGTATGTCATATATAACAAAATGATTACAAAGAGTAACAATTTTTTAATGAATGATGTGGCTGTATGATTTTACCTTCTTGGTAAGAAAGTCTGTTTCTCTTGAATTTATGAAAATGGCAAGGCAACAAGAGATTTGAAAAGGATGCTTACTCTCAAAACTTGGAGAAAATGGAACATGGTGCTACATTCAGCAAAAAAAAAAGAATGTTTTACTCTAGAAAGAGGACACCACAATACACTTGAACTCCCCTCACTTTTGTTACTGCAAATTATTAAAACCTGAACTTCATCTCTTGAACGGTGCCTCAACGATTAGGTTGTTAGTGTCCGTGAAGAATGCCTTCACAGTCAAAGGATCAACATTATCAGGCAGGCTGTGTTCTCGACTCATCTCAGATGTCTGGTTACGGTTGCCACTTGTAATCTGACGTTTAGCACAAATTATGACTTTTCCATCCTGGGTTTTGACTGTCAGCTCTTCTGGTTTGTAGTCGTCGATAGGCATTGTGAGCTGGAACTTGCCTTCCTGTGAGGTGACCATTGGAGTACTGAGCTGTGCCTGGCTAGAGATGGGTCCCGTGGGGAACGTCGAGCTCAAGGAACCAAAAGGAGATGATTTGGGCAAAGTGGATGAACCGCTTAAGTGTGAGGCTGGAGCCGAGTGAAGCTGAGACGACTGAAACTGTGGGGTCAGCCGAGGGCCATGGTCTTCCATCATTGAGTCGAATTTGCTGAGGTCGACAGGAGGCTTATAGGAAGGGACCACGTGATCTGGGTGCTCCATGCTATCCGATTGGTTAAACAAACTGGACTGGGCAAACGCGTTGGGCTGTTTGATGCTGCTCATAGGAGGCTGTTGGTTAATAGTGTGCACTCGAGTTTGCTGCTGCTGTTGCTGTTGATCACGAGGTGAATACATTGGGGGAGGGATCTGGTTGCTGAGTGAGGCGCCTTTCGGTAGGGTGGAAGAGGAAGAGGTCTGGTAGCTTGATGATGACTTAACTACTCCCGGTGGACTATGGGTAGCCCCTGTTGAATCTTTGATAGCATGGTAGCTCGGGGTGGGGAGTGGAGCATGGACAACCAGGTAGCCATCTGGATTCAGAGTGCAGGACAGCGCAAGAGGATCAACATCACGAGGAATGTTCACTTCCCTGTTGTACTCCCGACTGACAGATGACCCTCCACCTTTTTCCTCATGCCGAGCTGACACCATGATCTTTGTGGTGTCCATCTTCACGTTGATCTCTTCAGGGCTGTAGTCCCTCATGTTGAAGCGAACCTGGGTGAAAAAAATGCATTGTGTTTACAATGTTGCAATGTGTTCTATTCCAAAAGTTGATGGGAACAATCACAAACAGCAGGCATGAATCCAAAACAAACATGCACACATACACACACATACATACACACACACACATAAACACATAACATACATGAACACATATTTACTTGAACACACAAACACACACACACACACACACAAACACACACATACACACACAAACACATAACAAACGTGAACACACATTTACATGTACACACACACACATACACATTCAAACACACACAATCCCCCGCACACTACACACATCCCCCCTACACACACCACCACCACCACACACACACAGCGCCCCCCCCCACCACTCCACACATCACACACACACATATACACATACACAGACATACACACACACTCATTTCTTTGATCTCTAGTCCACCGTTTCTCTTCTTTCAAAATTTTCACGTCTCTTCTACCAAGCTACACTTTTCCAAAGATGAGCAAGTTGATTTGCATCCTATACGACCCTCAGCAAGCGTTCTAAAGGTCTATGCTTATCGTTCATATACAAACAGTAAAAAAACTAATAGAGAGCTTGATTCGCATAAAATAAACATAGCCAAAATATTTTTTAAAAACCTTCCTACATATTATTGTCTTTAAATCTTCACAAGGGTTCTTCTTCAGATCACATAGAGGAAACTCCTTTCTATAGAACACATTGAACCTTTCACGCAGACATAAAACTTCATACCAAGTCCAGGAATTTGCCGTAAAGAGCGAACAATATGACAATTTGAAGCAATAGCAGATACAACAAAACATCCACAAGAACATGAATGACATCACTCTAACAAAATTAACATTAATAAAATCATCATCATCTTCAATATCATCATCATCATCATCATCATCATCATCATCATCATCATCATCATCATCATCATCATCACCAGCAGCAGCAACAGCAGGAGCAGCAGCAGTATCAAAAGAACATCATCATCATCAACAGCAACAGCAACAACAGCAACAACAACAACAACAACAACAACAACAACAACAACAACAACAACAACAACTACGATAAAGTTTCAAGTGAACACACCTTGAACACAGGATGTCCATTTTCGTCTTTCTCAATGACTGGCTTCCCATCATCAGCCTCCGCAATCCGCGCAGGGAGCCGGGAGCTCGGGGTACTTTCAACGCTGTGGAAATCTGTCCTCTCGGGGTTCAGCAAAAAGAACTCTTTCCGCATCTTGTCGATTTCACTTTCCCATTCACTGTTGAGGAGCAAAATTAGGATTTAAAAAATGAGTGATAATCAATACATAGCATCAACTGTATCGCACAAATTCTAGCTCAACAGCCAGCTCTATGCGCTTTACAATCTATATTATTATGCCAGCAGACCTAATAGCATGCTGAAATATTGCTAACTCCCTGGGAAGCATATAGTGCAAGCTGGCATTTTTAGGCGCTAAAACACTAAGATACTGACAACATCTTTCGCTGTCTATGACAGTGTACCCATTCCCACATGGGTGAATTGAGGAACATTTCGTGTACAGCGCCTTTCTCAATGACACAACGTCGGGACTGAGGCTCGAACCCCCAGGACCCGCAACCGTATGATTACAAGTCCGGTAGCCTAACCACAAGGCAACCGACGCCATGCTAAAAGAAAACTTGAACCCCCTCTTCGAAACGTATTTGATCGACTACGTACATGTGAGGGTCCCCACTCTGGAAGTGGGGCCATAGTTGTTTCACCGCGACATCAGGAGCGAAAAACATAGTAAGTTATTAGGGGTCAACATTTAAGGGCATGGGAAATTTGGCGGAAAATGTCGAAGTAGATACCAGTCTGTTGTTATTAAAGAGTTTAAGTCATCAGATCATGCTCTTAAGTAGGGCTCAGTCTTCGGTCCAGTTTTGTTCACCATTCATACTCAACCACTTGTAAAGGAAATAGTTGAGTAAGACTTAAAGTACCATTTCTATGCTGATGATACCCACATTTATGGTTCAACGTTGTTTACCAACTTAGATGAACTTGTCCATAGTGCTGAAAATTGTATTGCCTTAGTGAAAAACTGGATGAACAAAAACAAATCGATGTTGAATGATAATAAAACAGAAGTCATTCTGGCAGGCAATGCAAAGTCTGTTAAAGAGGTTGACCACGATCACATGACAATTGGTGATGCAAAAATTGCATTTTCAAAAAAAGTTAAGAATCTTGGGATCTATTTTGATTCCATTTTGTCAATGTCGGCTAAAGAAAATCATCTGATCAGCTGCATGTATTTAGAAAAAAGAACAATTAGTAAAATACGTCATCTGATCAATATTAAGTATACTCCTTTACTAGTAACTAGCTTAATTTTATCAAAACTCGATTATTGTAACTCCTTGTTGTCAGGATTATCACTGGAGAAAATTAAAAGACTTCACACTGTCCAAAACAAAGCTGCACGTTTAGTTTTACAGAAAAGAAAGCTAGACTCAGCTAAACCTCTTTTACGGACATTGCATTGGCTACCTGTTGAGAAAAGGATTGTGTACAAGTTGGCCACCCTATGTCACAAATGTTTGAATGGTAATTTACCATCATATTTATC